GCATATTTCTGCACTAAAGTCGTGACCACTTTCTCAATTCATAAAGCCACTCTATTTAGCATTCACATTTTTATTCAGTGAGTTCTATTTCTAATCTGTGTGCAGGTGGCAACTTAATTTCATAAAGCTATCTGAATAATAGCATCTTGTCAGTAATCGTTCAGTGTTCCATTATGTCCTCAGGAAATACATCAATATTCATAAGTGTCACATTATATTAAATCCAGACTTTAACTACTATCTCAAAGTTGAGATAAATGAATCGACACACAAACGTAGCTTGGCTCATGCACACAATATAAAACATGGTGGCGTACTATGTTAAAGCTTCCTTGATGCTTTTCTCTTAACAACTACTTTGCAGTGCTTGTCTTAGTGTCTGTAGTCTTCTCACACTCTCACAGAGAGACCTGTCTGAGTACGAGCTTACAGGTTGAATGAAACAGTTGTCGATCCCCATGAGCTGAAGCTGAGATCACAATCACTGGCGGATTTATCACTGCTCTGTACAGCATTAGCTGTAAGGCTAAAATCTGGAATCAAAAAGAAAGCATTTATCATATAAAGACCATGAGTAATCAGCGGCCACCTGCCGGTAAGGAAACTTTATGAGTAGTACACTGCACAGCAGCAAATCTGGTAAATCAACAGACCATGATATTTTTCAAAATACCACCATCTGAGTAGTTCAATACGAGTATTTGAGCACTTTAGCAACTACTTATTGGCTTTTAAAGTCATGTGAATATCAAAATGACTTGGCATACACACGTTTTTCTGCTGTCTGTGCACAGAAAATGCCAGCAAGTGACGACTAAGTCAATTTTACTGAAACACAGGCAGATTAGCAGCTGTTAAAAAACTAACAAAAAATAAGGTTTTCAAAAACTTTTTTGCAATCATGTTTACTATTTGTGAAAGAACAATGAAACAACTCTGCAAAACAACTGATTTTTAAAGTTGTTTTTCTCACAGATACTAGAGCTGTGTTTGGATTTGAAATATAATTTCACTTAAAGTCAAGTTTGAAGTTATTATTTATTATATAGATTTAAAACCTGTGATGGAGCATCACCACATCAAATCTGTCCTGTCACACAAGGAGGATTCATTTTGATGCATTTTGCTTTCTTTTGTCACATGGATAGTTTGGTCTAAGTACTTCTGGTGGTGGTGGTAGTAGTACAGTAGGAAGCAGTTCTCTCTGAGGATTATCAGTGGTTGATAAACAGGACGTGAGTTTAAAGGAGGAATAAAAGCTCTAGGCTTTTTACTTTCCTCGTGTACATTGTGGCGCCATGGTACATTAGGATTTTAACCCAATCATATGGCATTAAGGATGATTAATATGCTTGCTAATCGGGAAAGGCTGAAACGTCTCTGGACGCAAGATCAGGTATGAGGCATAAACAGCAGCGAACACTGTCGAGTGGAGGTGGGAAGAACACAGTCCATCAATCACTGGTGACAGCTAGGACAGACGCAGGGACCGTGATCATCAAGAGAGAAGTGGGTGCTCCACCACGTCCAATCACAGCGCCAATTAGTAATGTCTGCAAATCTTTGTCTCCAACCAGGAACCAAGCAGATGCTACTTACGTATAAACACACTTATGTATGAGAAGATACAAGAGAATTATCAGGCAGGTTCAGTATCATTTGGTCCTCATCAATATAAATATATGATGCTACAGCTCTTTGTGTACTCTATAATAATGTAGTGAGAATAATAAAGACAATGCTGCCGTGGTGTTAGTTCACCCCATTCACACCTGGTATTTCAACTGCAGAGCCACTACATGGAACTTTTGTCAGAGAGAAAGAAGCAGAGTTAGATGGCCTTTAAACTTGTGGGAATTGTGCTTTTTCTTCAGAATAAGGCA